CCAACTTTCGGGCAAAGAACTAAGTAGCATCAAAGCCTGCAACTCATCATCAAAAACAATTTTCATAGAAGCAAGTTGGTTAACAATACTCTTTATTTCATTCAGATGTTCCGGAATAGGGCTGCCCTCTTTATATTTTAAATTAACCAACTTACGAAACAGAAAAGCTTTATTTGTGGCTGATTTCCTATCATAAAGGCCCTCTAATTTTTTTCATAAACCATGTGCCGAAGTTTCAGTAGCAACATGATGAAACACACTGTCATTAATCCATTGACGGATAACACCAACGACTTTTCGATTAAGCCTATTTCATTCATCATCTTTCATACCCTCGGGTTTGCCACTATCACCCTTAATGCGTCCATACAAATCTTTACAAAATAATAGGTTCTCCATTTTAGTTTTCCAAGTTACCCAATTGCTTCCATTGAAGCTAGACATACGACCCACATTCCCCTCCATTGATTTACACAAATAAATAAAAAGAACACAAGACCGATAGCTCGAGTCAAAATATAATAATCATTTGCCCAATATCTACCACCCCACCACTTGACTGAACCACCAGATGCTACTAGTTGTTCTCTCTCATCGACTCTACCAAAAAATGATCTTGTTCTTAGGGAAAATAAATGATTTCTCACAAGTAAATCAATTGAAAGAAATAAAAATATTGCATAAAACGACACAAGAATTTTTATTTGGTTCTCTCAATGTGAGGTACATCCACGGGGCCAAAATCCCATTCCATTATCAACCAAGAGTTTTCAAATGATTACAAATGAGTAACGAATGGTCTCACAAGTCACCCTTAGGTGAATTCCAAATAATCACAAATAAATAAGAGGAAAGACCTCACCAAATAGACGAACAAAAATCTTCAGAACCAGAGTTGTAGAAAATCCAAAATAACGAACCAAATCAACACCGAAAACGAAGCAAAGAACCACCCAAATTAATTCCACTGTTTACACACCAAAAAATTGATTTCACCAAAGTGGAGTATGTGTAGCAGCCGTTCTCTTCACCTCGGAATGAGCAAAAACAAAACCCTAAAATATTGTGAATATATGATTTATTATCAAACCTTAGTTGTTTTCAAATTGGATTGGGTCTCCACAAATTAAATATAATATATAAAAATACATTATAATTAATACTAAACTAAGTTAAACTTTTTTTTCAAAATCAATTGAGTCTCACACTCCAATAAGGAGGTATACCCACCACAGCTTGGTAAGCGCTTTAAACTGATTTAAAGCACACAAATCTCTGTCTGAAGGAAATCCATGGACAACTGCGTAAATGCTCAACTTTCTCAACCTTGGATTTTTTCGTAAATCATCAAGAGTACATGAGTTTTTACCCTCTGAAACGAAAAATCCTTTGAGGACTTGGAGTTTGGAGAGCGATGCAAGCGCCTTGGGCATCTGATCTAGCAGGTAACATTCAGACATGTCCAAATGTGTCAAATTCTTGAGCAAGCCAATTCCATCGGGAATCACCTCAACGTTGTGACACGCTCTAATGTCAAGGATTGTAAGATTGGTGAGCTTTGAAATCGACTCGAGAAGCTCTGAAATTCTAGAAATTCCACCAAGGTTCAAAAACCTCAGAAGCGTGAGATTTCCCAACCCATCCAAAACATTTGCATTTTTCTTCATGTCCTTAGTGTCGGTGAATTCAATGTGATGCGAGACCGAGGTCTGCCACCTTCCCAAGTAAAGAACTTTGACATTTTTCATCTTTGAAAAACATTCAGGCTTGATTTCAAGAATAGCCTCATTAACATCAAACATTGTATTAAGCTTTTCCAAATCTTGAATCTTTGTTAACCCATCACCCGTTAAGCTTCTCCGTTGTCATCAAACCTTCCCCGATCCACTAGTACATCATGACCCTCTTCTTTATTTTAGCATTTTTCGGGAAAACAGAAAAGAAAAGTAAATAGATTCTGACACTTCATCGAGATGATCATAACAGGCCCCAAATTCTTTGACTGTGAATCTTCGCTTTGAAGCCTGGTTTTTTAGCGTATTGTCAGCATTACCTTTGTTTGACCATTGACGGCGATGAGGATCGGACTCTTCACGATCATCCTCATGATTCGAAGAGATCTGCTGCTTCAATTTCAAGATATTCCTCTTTAATTCCCCAAATTGGTCTTCAGTTCCACCCTCTTGTTCGAGCTTGTTGAACTCCTCGAACATGGCTTTGATTCGATCTTTGTATTTTCTGATCTTCTTCGAAATCTTGTCAAGGGAATTCAGATCTACGATAATCAATTTAGAAAGCATCTCAACCATACTGCGACTTCTGTTGTTGCTGTTGTCGTTGTCGTCATTTTATAGCGATCCCGGGTTTACCCTTGTTGTACAGTGATCCGGACATGTGTCCGTGGATGTTGGTAGTTGTTTATTATCTTGTTTGCATCCTTTTTACTTTGTATATTGAGTTATAGGATGTGTTGGGCATGTTTGTTATAGGTTGGTTGTGTTTGGGAGCCTAGTGCTGCTGCCCAGATTTTTGGACATTCGCTCGAGCGAGGAGTTGGTCGCTCAAGCGAGAGTTGAGTTCGTGCCTAGTGGATCGAGCCAGAGTGGCTTCGCTCGAGCGAGCGATTGCGTCTGGTTCTGGACCTGAGAGTTGCATTTCTTGGCTCGAGCGAGCTTCATTTGCTCGAGCGGTCTGGTTGTTCTTCGCTCGAGCAAGAAGTCTGTCGCTCGAGCGTGCTTCTGGTTGCAGACCTAAGGGTTTGTGTTGTTGGCTCGAGCGAGCATTCTTTCGCTCGAGCGCACTTTTGAGTTTTTGGCTCGAGCGAGAGCTTCGAAGATCTCCAGTGGGAAAGTTGAGAAGGGTTTGACGGTGTATCCCGACCTGAGTGTGAGATACCGAGACCGTTTGTTTGTACCGGAGTCTTGCCGTGAGGAAGTACTCCGAGAGTTTCACCATTCGCGCCTTGCGGTGCATCCGGGAGGTACTAAGATGTATCAGGATTTGGGTCGCCAGTTTTGGTGGCGGGGTATGAAGAGAGATGTGGCTGTTCCCCTATTTGTGTGGTATCGCCTTTGGGTGGTGAGTTGATCCTGAAACAGGGTGTTAGAGGATGTGATATAGAGGTCGCCGACTATAGGCTTCCTTTTCCGTTTGTTGTCATGCCCATGAAGGGTTTTGATGTTATTTTGGGTATGGACTGGCTATCGTCATACCGGGCTGTTAGTTTGGCAGGGTTCAAACCATCCCAGATGCACCGCTAGCTCCTAGTCGTGGTGCACGA